GGAAGATGTTTGGTGCTTTGATGTACTGCTTGTAAGATTTTGTAGGTGGGGCCAGACTGTATTTGGTCTTGGCCTAATTATTTCTCACTCTGGAGTTAAAACCATTCTCAGTACTTTATCTAATGCTTGACGAGTCATATTTTTTTCCCACTCTAGCTAGTGACAACAGATGCTATTTCCAGTCTGTGTGAGGGCTGGCAGCATGCTTCTATTCTTTTCAGATGCTATTCTCTCCAGCCATGGCACAAGGATCAGTGCTGAATTGAACACAGGAGAGGGATTGTCTTCAAATTTCCAGAATTTTCTTTCCTCTCCCAGTCTGCCAACACTAGCTTTCTTGGTCTCTGTGGTTCTCAGCTTCATCTTCTCAGCTCAGATCTCCCATTTTCTGAGTAACCCAACTGTGCTGTGGTTAGGAGTTCTAAGGCAGTCAGCTAGACATCAGCCTTCCTTGATAATTTTCCTGTCTCTTTCTTATCTTTTGTTACCTGATATCATGTACTGAAAATCTTTCTTTGATATATTTTGTGTTTTGTGTTTTTTTTTTTTTATTGTTTTAACCAAGAAGTTTTAGCCTTGCTATTCTATCTTGGTTGTAAGTAAAAGGCCTACAGGCAATGTTCTAATTGCTTTACCTCCTTTTTTTTATGATTACAATTTATGAAATAGGAGTAGTTATTCTAACCATCTTTTTAGCAAAGATGCCCAGATATGTTAAGTAGTTTCCCCTTGATGCACAGCTAATAAGTAGCAGAATTTGTATTTGTTCTGTGACATATAATTTTAGGTCTTCATAGCAATATTTATGACCATATTAGAGATGCTTATAGATTGACTTCAGTAAGTGCATTTTATAATTGCCATAATCATTGTTTATAAAATATTTTAATGTTATTACAAAAATTTGGGATTAAATAATTTCTTTTTTTGCAAACTTTCTACCAATGTGCTAAAACAGATATTCCCTTGATACTTTTAATAGCACTTTAATGAAAAGCCTTTAGATACTCAGGCCATTACCACTTCCTAATGGGTGGTTATATGAAGTTTGACACTTGATGATCCTCAAGTTCCCAACAGATATTTTAGTCAATAAATTATATTTGGGTGAATGTGGGAAGAAATTATCTGAAAACCCAGCTTAAAATACAACAACCTCCTGTATTGCATATTGGAGAGTGAAAACAGTCACATTTGTCTTTGGTAGATGGAATAATTTAAATAAAATCAGAACAAGAGGCGTGAATCCTGTGGAGAGTGTTTCCAGCAATGACATGAGCCAATGTGAAGCTGGCATTAGTTGCTGGAATCAGTCTATGTGGTGGGAACCCAGGACAGTAATTTCTGGGCCACTCAGGCAGGTCTTGACAACACAGGTCTTTGTTCTAATGGCAATGCTTGTCTATGGAAGCCAAGGGACATCTTCTAATCTATGGTCTTTCTAACTCAACAAAACATGGTATGTGCAGTCATAGGTGAAGTTCAAGGTGTGTTTCACTACACCTCATTTACTCTCAACCACAGTCTAAAGGAGGTAATAATATCTCCATTTAGGAGAGATTAAGTGATTTGCAACTGGTGGACTTTGAGTTTGCATTTATATCTATCCATTTTCTTCCTATCAATGATGCCTCTTATAATACCACTTTTATTTAACTATATCATTTTGGAAAAGAAACTTCCACATAAAAAGAGCAAGCTTCTTTTCATCAACCTAGAAATGTTGAATTTCAAAACTTAGAATTCAGAATGTGATCTCTAAATGTTATTTCCTAATAAAAGAGACCAGAGTTTCTTAGAGGATTAACCAATTCCAGGTCTGAGACAGAAAATGTACAAAACAATATCAGACGATATTGCCATTTGAGAACCTAAGGACACTCTCAAAGCTTACTGTGATTGTGTCAAAAGGACTCGGGAGCCGATATGAAGAAGCTACAGATGTAATGATTTGTGGGTTATTTAGGATAATAACTATGACATATTGAAACACATGAAATACAGCCAAGGGATGCTTCCTGATGCCCTGAGTATAGGTGGAAAGTTCTATCTGTCTGCTTAGCAAATTGAACTATTTCCATAGTATCTTTTGTACTCGCATCCCCAAATTAATTAAAAGAACTCTGAAGGTGGGCCTCCCTGGTGGCGCAGCGGTTGAGCGCTGGGTTGAGAGGCTGCCTGCGGCCTCCGCGGTGCAGTTCGATCCCCGGCTGCTCCCCGGCCACCAGAGGAGGGTCCCACATGGCGCGCAGACCTCTCCTGCCGCCCGCTGCTCCCCTCAGCAGTGTACTTCGGTCCTTCTGCCTGCTCTGTTCCCCGCTCTGGCTCTGGTGAATTCTCTCACCCTCCTGCGTTTCTGACTATACCCAGTGCATGTACAAACAAACAAACAAACAAACAAACAAATAAATAAATAAATACATGCCTCTTAAAAAAAAAAAAACATTCAAAAAAAAAAAAGAACTCTGAAGGTGGGGAATATATCTTCTTATTATCACTGGTTCCTGTGTGGTTACATGAAAAAAAATAGTGGGGCCTCCCCTGGTGGCGCAGCAGCTGAGTGCTGGACTGCACAGCTGCCCACAGCCTCTGCAGCGCCAGTTCAATCCCTGGCCACCGGGTGAGGGTCCCACATGGCGTGCAGGCCTCTCCTGCCGCGCTCGCTGATCCCCTCAGCAGTGTTTTTCATCAGTCTGCCTGTTCTGTTCCCCGCTCTGACTCTGGAATTCTCTCACCTTCCCGCACTTCTGACTGTACTCAGTGCTTGTATAAATAAATAAATAAATCTTTAAAAAAATAGTGGAATAATCAATAAATGGATGAATAAAATTATTATTTACTTATGGTTATTCCAAAAGGAAAGGGTTGAGGGTCTCTTACTCTTTTTCAAGGTCAGGTAAGCATTGTACAGTTTACAAAAGGAATACTCCTCTCTCTGAAGAATAATTTACATATGAACATATAAAATACAAACACAAGTTTTCCACTACAATTATAGGAGATTCAGAATTCTCTATAATCTGTCTGTATCAAAAACCTCTTTTCAGAAAATATAATTTAGTGTATGGCAGGATCCTTCTAATCTATTCAAACTAATGCATTTTTTTTTAAAAATTGAAGAAAGAGAATATTTGGACTGACTCATTTATGGTATTATTTTAAGGCACAGCATAATATGTTATACTTTACCTTATGTAGTCCATAACATTTATCATATTTTGAAGGGAGGCTTAAACTGAATTAAGTAGTATTTTTTTGTTATAAGAGTAACTGTAAGCCTAAAATTAAAAAAAAATATATGATTGTCCATTAAGATTTAGCAAGTATAATGATCACATCTTTGTACATTTGTCATCAACTTTTCAATGCACACTTTTAAAAAAGATATGGTATGATCCAATGAGAAAAAATATATCCATTCAGTCAAAATATACCCCCTTCTATTTTTTCCACTAGATCTCGTTCAGTTTTTTGTTTGTTTGTTTGTTTGTTTATATGTGTTATTGTTTTTTGGCATTCTGTGGACTGTTGCTTAATTTCAATCTTGAAATTTTAGCTGTGTCTGACAGCTCAGTCTTTCCAAGTTCAAAACTGACAGCTCAGTCTTTTCAAGTTCAGCCAGGTTTGTGCTTATAGAACTTTATCTTGTTGCTGTTAACTGCTATGGAAGTGAGAGCAGAAAGTGCATTTTTATTTACATCCTAAAGACTCCCAGTAAGATGATTATATAAAGCCAGATGACCCTTTGGGTGTCTACACAACTCCCAGCAGCTGGTGTTCCATGGGTTGACATTTAATTTATATCAAAAGCACATCAAAAATACAATGACATTTTCTTGAGTAAATTCTTATCTTATTGATAATTGTAAGTGTGATGTGTCTTGAAGCCCTGACCTTATGTCCTTGTCTATTGAAAAGATAACTGAGGTTTTCAATATGGTTTTAGTAAAGAAAATTATACTAGAATATTATAGAAAACAACTAAAATCATATTAAATAGAACATTGCAACTTTTCCCTGTTAAAGTTGGGGAGTGAATCTTATTCCAAACAAGGGAAGTGGCGTTTCCATAACTCTGATTTATTATGTAACAGTAGACCTTTTGTTTGTTTCTCTGTTATAGTGTCAACTTAAATTCCCAGGAAGTTAATATCCAACGCAATTCCCAGGAAGATATATACTGAAGACTTCCAATGTGTTAAAAGATAAGACCTAGAAGTGAGATGTGACAGGATAATGGCCTTCTGTTACTCTTTTTTTAATTTGGGAAAGGGACTATTAAATTAGTAAAGCATACAATCAATTTCTTTTTTTTTTTAAGATTTATTTATTTATTTATACAAGCACTGGGTACAGTCAGAAGCACGAGAGGGTGAGAGAATTTACCAGAGCCAGAGCGGTGAACAGAACAGGCAGACTGACAAAGCACACTGCATGCTATGGGAGGCCCTTGCTGGCTGCCTGGGATCGAACCGGCGCAGCAGAACATTCATCAGCAGGGGAGGCCCGCATGCAATCAATTTCTAAGATTGTTTATGTTATTAGTTATAAAGACAAAAGCCTATGTGAAATATTTAAGCAGTTAATTTCTTTAATTCACTACTTTTTTCCCCTTGTATAACATGGGTCAGATTCTCAAAAGTATTTGAACTGGCAGATATATATTTGGTTAAACTGATGATATCCACAAGTTGATTTTAGCCCACAGTGTGCAGATCTTATTACCTCATCAAACACAGTGACACAACTGTCTTTCATCATTTGAACGTTGTTCTTTGACAACCAGCAAAACAGTTGTCAGCCAGAAAGCAATAAGCAGTTTTTCTGACAACAACAGGCAAAAGGAGAATGTTCTATTGTTTTATTGACTGTTGTAAATCAGGAACATTCCTGTGTCATAAGTTAGATATACAAAAAACACAATGATGCACGTGCTGACCTCCCAAAGGATGGTCTTTCATCACAGCATTCTGGAACACAGCCCTAAGCAACACAGTGACCTCACACTTGCATTTCTTTGGAATAGAACATTTCATTGGTAAACATGACAATGATAAGTTTTTTAGGATCTGTGAAGACTCTGAAGTTTTGAAAAAGGAAAGGGAACAAATACAAACAACAGGTTAGAAGCTAAATGTTTTTGTTGATTTCTTTCTCCTTTCCCAGTGTGGAAACTGGCCTTATACTATTGTTCCTCTCCTCCTTTGGTTCATATATTTATCACTGTGAGGCTGGGACAGGGACAGTAAGTGGCTTATACTCCTTATGCCTCCTTTTCCTCTTCTCATTCTTGCGTTCATGAAGTCTACATTTATGTCTCTTCATGAGGTGGATTTGACTTCAGTTTGTGCATCTCATTCTTTTTAATGAAAAGCATAAATATATGCATTAAATATTTTCATAAGTTTTCTGTTGAAATACAGATGAGGTTCATTCTCTGAATGCTGAAATGATAATATTAAGTTCATGTGTTATTTCCCAATTTAGTGTTTGATATGATTTGTATCATAATACCTACTTTAGGTACCTCGAACAAGCTTCCTTCGGTTTTGGGGTTTTTTGGTTTGTTTCTTGTTTTTGGTATATGAGGTGGGTTTTCAGCTCCTGTATGTCTCACCAATCTCACTGGACCCAGGAATTTACTTTTCTTTCTTTCTTCCCACCTTCTATTCTTATCTTCAGACTCTTAAAGACAAATTCTGAATGTGATTAATGAGGCAGAGATTAGGAACATAAAGTTCAAGCACCAAATTGTTTAAGAGAGCTGTTTTCTGCCTATTACTTTATGCAGACATATGCTCACTGGAAGAGTGTATGTTATTGTTGACTTGCAGAATACAGCCCCAGAGGGTGCTTATTATAGAGGCAGGCAGAGGAGATGTTCTTTAAGTAATTACTTTTCATTTTTCAGAATATTCTTCTTTTTTCCTTTATAGGGAGGGGGTTTATATAAATATCAATTTCAGCAATCTTCCTAAGCCTGGAGTCTCACTGCTAGGTTGAAATACATAATTGCATTTGTGAATTCTTACTGAAGCTCAAAGTGAGAATGTTCTCACTGTGTGCTTATCATAAGATGTATTTGAATAGGGAATCTAGAACACGTAGGTTTTACATACATATTTTGTCTCTCAGTGGGGACATGTCACCACGTCCCTACCCTCAACAAATTCTTATAACTCTCCAGAGAGAGAGTTTAGGTTTATTTCTTCCTGTGAAGAACTCTTCTAAGAATTTCCTTTCTTCACAGAAGGAAAATGTGAAAGCAAGCTGTTTTTCCAGGGGGTCGCTCAGCAAAACCAGCTGCTTTATGACAGAGCATATTCTGCCCCTCTAAGGGACACACAAAAGTGGGAGAGCCTGCCTACCAGGTAAGGCCAAGCAAGCAAGCAGGATTTCTTTCTGAACAAATGACCTTTGTGACTATGGTGCTAGAAGGTAGAGAGGATCATGGTTCCTTCTGCTAGATTTCCATAGTTTCATTGGGTTCAAGTCACTGCTTAGATTATTTATTTAGCTCCAATATAAACAGAATTTTTATAATATGTTCTTGGATTTAAGATCTCCAAATTTGAAAGTAACAGGATGTTATTTAAAATTTTTCTTTGGTTCTAGACCATCACTTGCTTCATTTTGAGCTGCTGTCTTGTCAGAAGCTGAGTGAAGTTGGCCTCTTCAGGGAGCTGAGAGAACTGCCCTGGTAACAGAATTCAGAGGACCTTCAGTTGTAGGCTGGCATCTCTGTAAATAGCGCTCAGCTCTTCATAACTGCTCTGCCATGCCATGGCAACATTTTCATGGGAGGGGAAGTAACATTCTCTCCATTTTTATTTTTTTTTTGTTGTTGTTCAGCATTATGATTATATTAGTTTCACTTTTACCTTGCAAAAAGAACCTTTTTGTTTTCCTTCATTGAATATGTTACAGTTGGAAAGAAAGTGATTTCTCATGGCGTAAACTTTCCTTTGAGAGGGGGACTATAGAAATTTTCAACTACTTATTTGCTTAGGCAACTTTGCATCTCTTCTTTTCTCTTCTATCTGCCATAGTAAATGCTGACAGACTGCAGGGGGAAAACCCATAAAGCCTTTAACATTAAAATTCTGAGGTTTTTTCCTACACTTAAAAATTATAGGATTGTTATTCTTCATGGGTTGATCGCCAAATAGTTCTTAAAATTGTAACATTCACTTCCTGTTTTCAAGAGTTATCTAAAATCAACTACTCAAATATAGACTAGTTCCAAAACATGGTGCTTAAATTAGACTGCGTGGGGGCATGGGACAGTTCTGTCCCAGGGCAGGTGTCCTGCCTACCACCCTGACTATTGTGGGGCCTACAGACACAAAGAGCAGGCCAGAGACCTGGGGCCTTGGCCGCACCTTGACTTTGTGTCACTCTGAAATCTGAAGGCCACCTCTACCCAGTGAGGTCTGAGGTTTTTCTGGTAGGTGGTGATTGTCCTACTTCTTTTACAGTATTGTGTTGTCTAATGTACTGTATTATGTTATCTTATGTGCAGTATTATGTACTGACAATGACAGATATTTGGGGCCTCCCTAGTGGCACAAGTGATTAAGATGCAACCTATGAAGCTATCCACAGCCACTGCAACATGCATGAGTCCGATCCCTGGCCAGGGAGGTGACCCACATGGCGCAGTGGACCTCTCCTGGCTCGCTCACTGCTCCCCTCAGCAGTGTGTTCTGGTCAGTCTTCCTGTTCTGTTCCCCACTCTATCTCTGGTGAATTCTCTCACCCCCCGCATCTCTGCCCTGTACCCCAGTTCTTGTGTGCATAAATAAATAAATATTTTTTAAAATGATGGATATTTGAGGGAGGAAGAAAGAAGCAACAATTGAGGGTGGGTCCTTGTGCCACAGCTCCATGAGCAATAATAAGTAAATGAAATTATGTATAAATTTCTCTAAATAGACAAACCTGAAATACCAGTCCATTACTTTCCTTTATCCAACACTAAAAACATGAATGTGACATTGATATTAACAGTAGGATCATTACTGGAGGCAGTTTCCTTTCCCTTGATCACAAAGCTATGGCCATGGTGCCTGCCAGCATGTCAGCACACAGATATCACCAATGAGTGACCAGCATTTACAGTCTTGGGGCAGATGGAAATTCATCTGTGGTAGGCGCTTTGTCTACCTCTTTTTGGCTGATCCCCAAAGCTTTCCTGCTCTACTTCAAATACAAAGTGTACCCAAAGTGTCCTGGAACAAGTGCTGTTCCAGAAGAATGTGCATGCATGGGCTCTCCACACAAGATGTCATCTTTGCCATCATGAGAGTTGGGGTCTCAGATGGCCGAAGTACTTCCTATGCTTCTGTATTTTTAGAATGACAGCATATTTACCCAGTCATTTTACTTTGCTAGACTGCATGCCATCTGTTGGGATACCTTACTCTGGAAGAATGTTTGTTGCATAAATTAATTAATCTGTCTCTGTATATGTTCTACATGACTATGTGTTGTCATGATGAGCCATCAACCTTGGGGTTTTCATCTGACATTGATAGATGAGGTTTAGCTGAAGAATGTTTGCTGTGGTCATGCTGCATGGTCCATCATGGCCCTGCTACTGTGGCTAGGCCTGATCATCTCCCAGTACTGCCCCTTGAGAACTGAGGGGCCTTATATGTCAGTTCATGGTGTAACCTTTGTTTTATTTCATGACCTCAGCATTGACAATGAAATTACGGTGTGTAAATCTTTGCTTCACACTTGTGATTCATTTCTGTTTGAAAGCCTTAGGCTATGAAACCACCACCAATAAACTTACAGCTATATTCTGAGAAGTGGGCACCAAAGCTGGCCACAATTTTTTGATTAATATACACTCTATTTTGGTAGCAGTGGCATGCGTTCCATCCTGCAGGGACAGAATCTCTGTGACCTGAGTCACAGTGTGGAGGGTCCTTCCACTGTCTACTGCAAAGAAGGACACATTTCTTTCTGTCTCCTCACTGGAGGCCATGCATGTACACTCTGTCTCAGAACAACGATTCAGCATGTCTTTGTGCCAGGCGGACAATTACTGTGAGGTTTGCATAGAAGAATAAGGAAATCCTTGTCATTCCACATCACTATTAAGTGCTCAATTTCCCTGGAAACCTACTTATGTTGGACCAGATAAGCTGTCAGCACTTTGAGTGGCCTTTCACTGGTGTGTGCTGTTTCTTTCCCTATTTACTTAAAACCTGACTAATGGTCAGATTCTGTCAGACCCAGTTGGTTCACGGGTTGTCTCCAACCCACCAGTGTGTTCTCTGTCAGGTATTTCTTTGAAAGAAATAATTATAAGAAATTCTAAAGGTGGTAAAGATTGACTAACTCCAATAGTCAGAATAAGGAAGGCTGTGTGGCTCAAGACACTTAGGGTAAAGCACAGTGGGAGAGGCTTCATTGCTTGGCCCCTAGGGCAGGCTTTCTTCTAACAGATAGTGATGGAGAGCAATTAGAGTCTGAAAGTATAAGCAAGCCAATCTGTTGTGTTTATACAGAGAGTTTCCCCCGAAGTGAGGCAGAAGCAGAGACACAAGTAATGAGCACATGTGTTTGGAAAGAGTATAATGTACTTATAAATATTATAGTGGCGTCGCTATAGTTAAAGGTCTGGCAGCATTTCCATTATAAACTCTCATTGTCAGGGGTTTAAAACTCTGCTGTAAAAATTCCAGGCTGCAACTTGGCATCCCAGGGTATGCCTGGGAACAAAGCTTTCATCCTTGATCTCATGCAGGTTTCTCCTGGTGTTACCATGCAACCCCTTGCATGGTAACATGCCTTGCCCCCTCTATCCTGTTTGCATCTTTAAGGGGGAAAGTGGCTGGTCTAAGAACCCAAACACAGTGCAAAGTCTCTTGGTTATTGAAAAGTGACGTCTGAGTAGAAGCACCCACATAATTTTATTGACTTCTTAATTGGGAGTGAAGTTTGGTTTTAGCTGTTGTGTTTCCTGTAATCACCAAGATATCACTAGACAAGCAAACAAGTTTAGGGAAATGCAGTTAACATCAAAATACTAAGATCTGGAGAATTTGAAAAGGACATTACATTATCTGGCACATATATATGTTATATACATATATAACTGTTTTTTTGCACATATATATGCTATATGTATGGGGGGTGTGTGTATGATTTTGTTTCTAACTTTCTTACATGTTTTAATACTCCAAGGTATGGATAGATCAGGAAGTTTTATTGCTAGGTAAAGTTTTAGAATTTATATGTGTTAGGAGTGATAATTTCTCTTTCTTGGTAGGATTATATCTACTAGGAGGGAATACCTGTCACTTTCAAATAGAACTGACTGATTTTGGGGCTGGATAAATGGCATACTTTTCATGGAAAAGCAAGGAGGGTAAAAAGAGGATGGAATGGCCATACCCATGTTTGGCCAGAGTAAGACTCAAATCCTCAGTGTCATCTTATTAGTTTCAATAATTCCTGCTTCTACTATATAATTTATCTATGCTTTACTTTTAAGAAACTTCATCTACGCATTTGTGATGAAGTAAAACTTTACTAGGAACATGGAACTTATTTATCCTGAATTCTTGCAAAGTTCCCAAGGGGCACATCACCAGCTTGGGACACCTCTTAGTGTGCATGGCTCCAGAGCTGTTCCTCTTCATGTAAGTCTACAGCTCTGGAGCACTACAAGGAAGACTGGTCCCAGTCACCCCCTAAATATGTTGCAACACCCACACCTTTGTCCTTAGAAGTGGTTCTGGGACAGCTAGGTGATGGTTCCCCTATCTGTCCCAGCATGTATACATGTCCTAGAGGTAACTACCTAGCTGTCTCTGCACCTAACACAGTTACTCGTAGGTACTCAACCACATCTTGAGAGTCATGTATGTACTTGAGTTAAATTTATTGGTGTTTGTAATATTGCAACATATATTTTTTTATTGGCAGTGATTCTGTCCCCCTTAATCCTTAGTAGTCACCATCACTCACAAGATATAGTATGTATTTGCCCTGAAGTGAAGAAAGAAACTTTCCTGCAGAAGGTATGTGAAAAACTGGGTCTGTTGTCAATATTGGGGGAAAGAGTCTAACAGCCTGGGTTCAGGTGTTCTTGCGCCTAGGAGTCCTCAGTCCTGTGCCCTCAGAATTTAGCTACCATCCTGAAACACAAGGGATCTGGGCTGTATTGGGTAGATACTACCTGATAAACTTGTAAGGAGAACTGGCTGTAGACCATGCATTTTTATCCTTTCCTTTCTTTTACTCCAATCTTGCTTACTTGAGCCCAGACCTAGGAAAGGTAAAGACTTGTTTGGCCCAATTGCATCTCTAGAAAGAAATAGTTCATACCCTGCTACACAAAATTTATTTATTTATTTATTTTTAAAAGATTTTATTTATTTATACAAGAACTGGGGTACAGGTCAGAGGCGCGGGAGGGTGAGAGAATTCACCAGCAACAGAGCAGGGAGCAGAACAGGCAGACGGACGGAAGACACTGCTGAAGGGAGAAGCAGGAGAGGCAGGAAAGGTCTGCCACGCCATGTGGGTTTCTCCCTGGCCAGGCTGGGAATCAAACCGCCACTGCAGAGGCTGCAGACAGCTTCAAGCGCTGCGCTCAACCCGCTGTGCCACTGGGGAGGTCAGATATAAAATTTAAATTGCCTCTTTGAATCCCAGCTGAGATTAAGGATTAAGTATTGCTAAAATATTCCGTTATACCATAAATATTTAATAATAGCTAATAGTAATTATTTATTTAACATGTTTTTTGACTCAAAAAAACCCATTATCATCTTATTTTTCACATGAGAATAGTGAGTTTTTTTTTCTAGTAGGAACTGTTTAATCTCCCCCTAGAATGGTGACTGGCATGCAGTAGGAGCTCAATAAGCTTCATTACACAAAGAATGCAATTTTTAACCACTTTTGATCCTGACATACTGTAAAAGAAGAAATTTTGCATTTCCTTCCTGACTGTCTGAAGATCTTACCTCCATGTAAATAACAGAGTAGCTATTTAGACCAGGAAGTTCATAACCAACAGCCTATTTCAGAGGAAATGAGTGGCCACTGATGCCCTTCACCTAAGACAGAAATTCAGGAAAAGCTAGCTGAAATGCATAAGACCATTCCAGATGTTATCTTTGTATTTGAGTTCAGAACCCATTTTGGTGTTGGCAAGACAACTAGCTATGGCATCATGTATAATTCCTTGGATTACTCAAAGGAAAATGAACCCAAATATAGACTTGCAAGACATGGCCTGTATGAGAAGAAAAGACCTCAAGAAAACAGTGAAAGGAATGCAAGAACAGAAAGAAAAAATTCAGGGGGGCTGTATAGGCTGTAGTTTATCCTAGCTACAGGAAGGAGTAAAGACTGCAGTGACTTTATCTGTGGTGATTGTGCAGATTTTTCCTAAGAGGGTGAATAAATTAATACCTTTAATGTGGAAATAAAAGATTGAATTTTTCCCAAGTCAAATAATATATTTCTCTTTTTCTGTAAACTTTAAAGTTTTCAAGTAGATACAGATTCCTGTATAGATCTTCACATTTTATGAATGATATGTAAAAACTGAAAAGACTATAAAATATAAAAGATTATAAAAGAAAATGTAAATATTGGAATTGGAAATGTGTTGAGGTAATTGGAATTGTTTTAACCTAAAAAAGAAAAGGTTAAGTTTGCTTTCAACTACGTAATGACAAAGTAATTTGTTTCTTAATAACATTAGAAGAAATAGAAGAACTGATCAAAACTTAAAATGGATGATTAAAAACTTGCTGTGGATTCTTCAACCCTAGAAATTAGAATCCATACTACATGCCATGGTCTGTCCTTATAGCAAGTCTTTTCTGAACTTTGTTTTAATACTAAAATTTCAAGGTAGATATAATTAAATATTTTTTTCCAAAAGAAAAATGAATTCTTACCTTAGGAGAACACAGAAGATCAAAACTACTTAGTAATTTAGAGATACAAACATTGTTACACTAGTAATAATAATGGAAATGTTCACTTTTCCTACAAAAATTATAGAAGTTGAGAAATGGCCAAGTACCTGTTGGCTGGGAAGGAAAGCTAATCTGCAGACTCACTTCCTTCCATTAGCATTGTTTTCTACAGAACTAGCACATAATGCTTCCCACAGTGCCATTCCTCAGCTTCTCAGGGCTGAAAAAAAGATGATGTACTCTTGTTGAAATCCTCCCCCAACCCCATCATCAAATGGCCAGTGGCTAGAAGGTGGCCCCTGGCAATAAACAAAGAAATAGGAAATGGTCTGTGATAAATATTCCTCTTCAATACCCTGTTCTGATGGCAGCACTGGTCAGGTTTAAAATGGAGAAATGCAAAAAACAAATGTATGTAAACTAAAATACTTAGAGCTTGTCTAGGAATGCCATGAAAAGAAATTCTTGTTTTCCCTACATTTTAAAAATTGATAACAAAATTAAAAACACAATACCTTAACATATGCAAAAATCATCCCAAATTTAAATATCCCATGAAATTTTCTTTTTAAAAAAACTTTCTTTACTGGTAAATATTAAGTTCTGAAGACCAAAAAAGCTCAATATTGGAGCAATATTACATAAACAAGCAGTGCCATTTGATAAATGACAGATATGGAAGGTTTAGAACAAGACACAGTGTCTTGTGTCAATATCAACATATCATTACATGGTTGCAATTGTAGGGTGTGTACTATTTGGAGTCTGTGTGAGGAATGAGATCTAAAATTATATAAAAATTAGTACAAGTGTAGAGTATCATGTCATTAAGCTTTGTCTATTCTCAGCTTTCTTTTATCATGTTGTTTAAGATCATTAAATTATTAATGTACACACTAGTCTGTGAAACCTTCCTCATAGTCATCACATTTTTGGACTTATGTTGAATACTATCAAGTGTTATGAAGCTTTTATCTATCTGATAAATTATCTTAGAGTGATTTTCTTCCATAAGGTTACTAATTTTCTGTATAATTTCATTTTTTCTAAGCCAAAACCTTTTTCCCTTCATAAATATATCTGAGATTTTAATATATATTAAATATGTATTTATATATTAAAAATAACTTCTTGAAGCTTGGGAACACAGGTATACAAGAAATGATATCTACTTGAAGTTGTGTTATCTACTTAGTGTTCTAGAATTTTGCACATATTAATGGTTAACTACCACTACATACACATTGAGAAAAGAAGTTAATATCTTGGTTATTAATATACATTGTAAAGAAAGCATATCTAGCATATCTTGACCTTTTTCAGAACAGTAGGATACATTTCCCAACTCTCAGTCTCCTATTTACATGTTTTATAGGTCTGTGTATAGCACAAGTGAAGAAATGAAAAACAGGTTAATTAACTCACATTCTAACTGGCTGACTACCTGGGGTTTAGCTGCTTCTCTGAAATTCTGATTGAACTGGTCCTATAATTTAATCTTCATAAAGCCTAATCTAAAATCTATAAAATTTATCAAAATTATTAAAAGTGGAAAAAATGTTGGATTCACATGTCCTTGATTTAAAGTTTTTAAGAAAAAACTATCAAATGTGGTGCCTTGGTGGTGGTTCAAGGGTTAAGACACAGCCTGTGAAACTGTCCACAGACTCTGCAGCACAAGTTTGATCCCCAGCCAGCCAGGGAGCTACCCACATGGAGTAGCAGACCTCTCCTGACCCGCCCGATGCTCGCCTTAGCAGTGTACTTTGGGGATCTGCCTGTTCTATTCCCCACTCTGTCTCTGGTGAATCCTCTTACACCCCACACTTCTGGCCTGTGCCCCAGCTCTTGTATGTATAAATAAATAAATCTTTTTAAAAAAAGACAAAGAAAGAAAACCTATTAAATGTGCTAGATACCCAGATAGAAGATCAGCCCACTGAGCCACTTTCCCTCTTCAGGTTCCATCTTCAGTAGGAGTTGAAGCAGCTGCCTCAGGACTTGCCATATGAGTGTGCTCCCATTTTCCCACCCCAAAGTACACTGGAATCTGGGCTCCCTCATGGCTGAGTTTGAAGATACAGATTTTCTTTCCATCATTCCCATTATGAGTAAGAATATTTCCTTTTCTTCTTTAATGTTTAGAAAGTATGTTCAAGTTAGACTTGTTTTTATCTTGAAAATGTTAATCTAGATCAAATAGAAGATTTGAGAATGGAAAAAGATTTATGATTGGGAGTGTGTGTTTGTTAATATATTGGAAGAGTTAGAAGTCTGTGTTATGAGGACTTGGGAGTAGGATATAAAGCAAAACACCAAATGAAAGAGAAAGAAGTAGATAAGAGTAAAAAAAGAAATTCTTAAAAAAATTAAAACCCAGAGTTAAACAAGGTAGCTGCTTACTAAAATAACATTTATGACATTTTATACTCTAAAATGTATTAATAATGTGAGATATTTTATTTCCAAGAAAGATAAGAATTTTGGATTTTTAAAAAATAGATCCTCTGATTCTTTAATATGTGTTTCTCATGTTGTAGGGATGCATATTTAGTATTACTTATATATTTCTAGACACATGGAAATGAAAAACAAAAACAAAAACATGTCCCAACATGTAGGAACCAGGGCACAATTTATGTGTAGAGACTACAAGGCTATGCAGAAGGAGAGTTGGAGAGATTCTTAATTTAAGGTTTTTAGTCTCCCAAATTAGAAGACCTTCTAGAAAAAACACAGCTTCAGTGCAAAACTTCATCATACATGCATCTGCATGTATCACAGAGTCAGAAAGTTACTATTGTCTTCATCACAAAATCTCTAGGCCTGAGTTGCCTGGGATGGATTGCATGGTTTCTAAAACCACCTGATTGTGCCAGGTAATAGGATAAATGTCATGCAAAATGTGATGCCCTTCCTTTTACTGAATCATCCACCCTAATTAGTATTATTGGATATTCAGTTTTTATTTGGGGTACATTTTTTCATGACTATTATTTAAGATATCTAAAAACTTAATTTTCTTCCATGCCCATTATCTTAATAGTTTTGATTATCTTTTATTTTTAGGCAGATTTTAAAATTTTGCTAGAAGATGGGCATTTCAATAATTTTAAGTGAGTTCGTATGAGCCCAAATTCCAGTCAGATCCAAAATTTTAAGAACTCATAAAAATCTGAAGAAACAGAAAGCTCCCTGTGGAGCTAGAGGAGACCTGGGAAGTTCCACATGCCAGGCCCCTTCTGGCCAGCAGTCCAAGCCCAGAGGGGGAGTGGGCACCCATGGCTGGGGCAGACTGGGCACGCAGGAAAGTGCATCTCCAACTTGCCATTTTAGAACAGGGACCATCCTTCAGTAAAGCCTGCTCGAAACCAGCAGAAGACTCCCCACAGAGCCAGAGTCACCTCCTTGCCATTCCCCTTCTAGCCAGCAGTCCTAGCCCAGAGGGGGAGCTGGCAGCCAAGGTTCGGGTAGATCGTGCATACAGGAAAGTGCCTCTGCGACTTGCCATTTTAGAACAGGGACCGTCATTCAATAAAGACTTGTTGAAACTGGCATAAGGCTCCCCTCGGAGCCAGAGGTAAGCTGAAGGCCCCCACAAGCCTGGTCCCCACTGGCAGGGAGTGGAACCCAGAGGGGGATCCAGCGATTTGGAGCTCTGAGTGTAATTCAGCAGCCCCACCTCCAGGGAAGTCTGTGGGACTACAAGACACGCCTTTGGAATTAAACAAACACAGAAGGATGAGATATTCTGAGACAGCCACCATTAACATACTCAAAGTACCACCACCTCACTGGACTTTTGGCATAACAGTATTTGACTCGTTTGGACCACCAGTTTCTGAAATCCCAGAAAGAGCACACCAAAAAGATGCCGGCCAGTACCAGCACACAGTGTTCGAACGCATAGTGCAAATTAGAAAACAGGCATCAGGGAGAAGAAAAACTACATGCAACCTAGAAACTCCTCAGGAAAAAGACACAACACTCAAAGAAAACCACCCACCAGATTGTAACAACAGTGACTTGGAAGAACTTCTGAGCCTTCCAGAAAGAGAATTTAAAATTGCCATGATTAAAAAACTGAAGGAAGTCAAAAATGATATGGGGAAAATAATCAACAATCATAAGAATAAGATTTGAGTCCCTAAAGAGGGAAGTAAAAGAAATGCAGAAGAACAAAAAATTAATGGAGGAGCTAAAGGACTCTGGGGAAAGCAGTGAAAGCAGAAAAGATGAAATGGAAGAATGAATAAGTACTCTTGAAGACACAGAAATAAAAAGAAACAAAATAGAAAAGGAAAGAGAAGTATGAAGGAAAAAAAAAAACTGAAGAAAGACTTCGGGAACTATCTGACTCCACGAGGAAAGGATATATAAGAGTTATAGGAATCCCAGAAGAAGAGGAGAGAGACGTAGGAACAGAGAAAATATTCAAGGAAATAATTGAAGAGAACTTCCCAAATGTTAAGGAGCTGAAAATAGACATACAAGAATCAAGAAGAACACCAAACATCCATGATGAAAGGAAAAATACAGCAACACATAATAGTAAAGCTCCCAAGAATCCAAGACAAGGAAAAAAATAATGAAGCTGACAAGAGGAAAGAAACAGAAAACATTCAAAGGAAAAACAATCAAACTGACATCAGACTTCTCTGAAGAAACACTAGAAGCAAGGAGAGAGTGGAGGGACATAGACAACAGACTCTAAGACAACAAATGCCAGCCAAGAATACTCTATCCTACAAAGCTTTCCTTCCTCTATAAAGAAAGAATAAGGACCTTCCCAGACAAACAGAAACTCTGGAATTTCATTACAACTAAACCCCACTCCAAAAAACACTACAAAGAGTCCTAAAGCCAGAACCAACAGAGGGATGAATAACAACGAAAGAAGGCCCCCCTAAAAAAGTTATTAAATAAATAAATAAAATCTTAGGAAAGACAAACACAATGGAAAATACAAATGCTAACATATCAATATTAACTCTAAATATAAATGGACTAAACTCTTCAATAAAAAGACACAGAGTCGCAGGCTGGATTAAGAAACAAAACCCAACCTTTGCTGTCTCCAGGAAACACATTTAACTACAAAAGATAAAAATAGACTCAAAGTTAAAGGACAGAAAACAATCCTACAAGCAAATGGACTGAAAAAGAAGGCAGGAACAGCTGTACTTACATCAGATAAAACAGATTTCAAACTCAAAAAGGTAAAAAGAGACCTCAATGGTCACTACATTATGATCAAGGGGACAATACTTCAAGAAGAAATAACACTCCTTAACATATACTCACCAAATGAAGGAGCACCAAAATAATCAGACAACTATTATCATCTCTGAAAACAGACATCACAGAAAACACATATGTAGTAGGGGACTTCAACACAGCACTATAAACAATGGATAGATCAATGAGGCAAAAAATAAGTGAGGACCTAAAGCTCTAAATAAGGATATAGAGCTCATGGGCTTAACAAACATCTATAGAACACTAAACCCAAAAAAATCTGAGTACACATTTTTCTCAAGCACACAAGGATCATTCTCCAGGATTGATCACATACTGGGATACAAGACAAACATCAACAGATACACCAAGATTGAAATCATACCAACCATCTTCTCTGAAAATGAAGGCATCAAACATCTGACAATGAAGGCATCAAACAGAAATAAACCATAAAAAGAAGGCAAGGAACTCTCCTACCTCATGGAGATTGACACCCACACTACTGGAAGACCACTGGACTAATGAGGAGATCAAAGAAGAAATTAAAATATACTTTGAGTTGAATGACAAGGAAGACACCAATATGCTAAACCTATGGGATGCAGCAAAATCAGTAATAAGAGGGAAATATATAGCAATAGAGGCTCACATCAATAAACAAGAAAGATCTCAAAGAAACAACCTAATCTCAAAGCTCAAAGAACTAGAAAAAGAAAAACAAAAAAAAACACCCAAAACCAGTAGAAGAAAAGAAATAATAAAAATTAAAGAAGAAATAAAATGAAATTGAAACTAAAAAAAAAAAAAATCCAAAAGATCAATTAAACCAAAAGCTGGTTCTTCGAAAAAATAAATAAAATAGACAAACCCCTAGCCAGGCTCACAAAAGAAAAAAAAGGAGAGAGCACAAATAAATAGGATCACAAATGAAAGAGGAGAAATCACAACAGGCACATCAGAAGTCAAAAGAATAATCAGAAACTACTATGAACAGTTATATGCAAACAAGCTCAACAATCTAGAAGAGATGGGCAAATTCCTACAACTACACAATCACTCAAAGCTAGATGAAAAAGAAATAGAACATCTAAACAGACCAATTACAAGCAGCGAAATTGAAATGGTGATCAGAAACCTCCCAAAAACAAAAGCCCAGGATCTGATGGATTTAAAAATAAATTCTACCAAACATTCAGAAATGAACTAGTGCCTATCCTTCACAAACCCTTTCAAAAAATTGAGAAGGAAGGGATAATACCAAATACATTCTATGAAGCCAACACTACACTAATACCAAAACTGAACAAGGACAATGCAAAAAAAGAAAACTACAGGCCAATTTCTCTAATGAACACGGATGCAAAAATCCTCAATGAAATTTTAGCTATCAGAATCCAAAAATGTATTCATAAGAAAATTCACCACGACCAAGTAGGATTTATTCCAGGGACACAATAATGGTTCAACATCTGAAAATCAATCAATGTTATCTAACACATCAACAAATAAGAAATATAAAAACCATATGATAATATCAATAGATGCTGAGAAAGCTTTTGACAAAGCACAATACTCATTTATGATAAAGGCCCTTGAAACTCTCAGGATGCAAGGAACATACCTCAACATCATAAATGCCATATATGACAAGCCCATAGCCAGTATCATTCTCAATGGCGAAAAGCTGAAAGCATTTCCATTAATATCTGGAACAAGATAAGGATGTCCACTCTCACCACTGCTTTTCAATATAATACTGGAAGTCCTATACAGAGCAATTAGACAAGAGAAAGACATACAAGGAATCCGATTAAGGAAGGAAGAAGTTAAACTAGCACTCTTTGCAGATGATATGATAATATACATAAAGAACCCCAAAAACACCACAGAAAAACTAATCAAACTAATCAATCAGTTTAGTAAAGTAGCAGGATACAAAATCAACACATAAAAATCAGTAGCCTTCCTATACACAAACAATAAATCTGAAGAAGAAGAAATCAAAAAAAGTCATCACTTTTATTATTGAAACAAACAAAAAAATCAAATACTTGGACCTATACAAAGAAAACTATAAAACACTGTTAAAAGAAATAGAAGAAGACACAAAGAAATGGAAAGTCATCCCTTGCTCATGGATTGGAAGAATTAACATTATTAAAATGGCCATCCTACCAAAAGCAATATACAGATTCAATGCTATTCCAATAAAAATTTCAATGTCATTCTTCAAAGAAATAGAACAATTATTGATGAAATTCATATGGAAGCACCACCACCCTGAAGAGCAAAGCTCTCCTGAAAAAAAAAAAAAAAAAAGAAGGGAATGGCGGCATCATACTCCCAGATTTCAAACTATACTACAAAGCCATAACCATGAAAAATGCATGGTATTGGAACAAGAACAGACACACAGACCAATGGAACCAACTAGAAAATCCAGAAATAAGCCCACAGATTTATGGTCAACTAATCGTCGACAAAGGAGCAAAGAATATGCACTGGAGCAAAGAAAGTTTGTTCAATAAATGGTGCTGGGAAAACTGGGTTGCTACATGCAAAAGAATGAAGCTTGACTACTACCTAACACCATGCACAAAAACCAACTCAAAATGAATTAAAGAACTAGACATAAGACCTGAAACCATAAAATACGTAGAAGAAAATATAGGTGAAACACTACATGACATGCACCTCAAAGACATCTTTACAGACACATTGCCCAAATCAGTGATGGTGAAGGCAAAGATAAACAGCTGGGACTACATCAAATTAAAGAGCTTCTGCATGGCCAAAGAGACAATAACCAAAACAAAGAGAGACCCCACTGACTCGGAGAACATTTTTGCACACAACACTAATGATAAAGGACTGATCACAAAGATCTACAAAGAGGTGACGAGACTCAACAAAAACAAAGATAATAATCCAGTCAAAAAATGGGCAGAAGAGCTAAAAGGAAACTTCTCTGAAGAGAAAATGCAAATGGCCAACAGGCAAATGAAAAAATGTTCCACATCACTTTTAATCAGGGAAATGCAAATCAAAACTACAGTGAGATACCATCTTATACCAGTGAGAATGCCACATTTAAAAAAAAAACTAGCAACAACAAATGTTGGCAAGGTTGTGGAGAAAAAGGAACTCTTCTGTACTGCTGGTGGGAGTGCAAACTGGTCCAGCCACTATGGAGAGCTGTGTGGAGATTTCTTGACCTACTAAACATAGAGCTTCCATAATATGATCCAGCAATTCCACTCCTAGGTATTTACCAAAAGGACACAGAAACAGTAATTCCAAAGGGCACCTGTACCCCTATGTTTATAGCATCACTATTTACAATAGCTAAGCTATGGAAACAACTCAAATGCCCAAAAATAGATGACTGGATCAAGAAGATGTGGTACATACACACAACGGAGTATTACTCAGCAATCAAAGAAGATAAACACATGCAATTTACAGCAACATGGACGGAGCTAGAAGGGATCATGCTCCAAGAAATAAGTCAGACAGAAAAAGAAAAATATCGGATGGTCTCACTCATAGCAGGAATTTAGAAAACCTAAATAAGGGACCAAGAAAAAGATTAACAAATACAAAGTAAAAATCAAAATCAACAAGCAACTATAAACCAGAGACACACTATGGAGTGGGGATAGGGGCAGGGAGTGGAAGGACTAGAGTTCAAATAAGGAGGGGGTGCAATTGTAAGGAGAATGTAACCATAATGAAAATGCATACATTGTGCAAAGGTGAAAAAGGATGTAAGAATATATAAAATAAAATATTTAAAAAAAAAATCTACAGAAACACTAAATTTCCATATGTAGAAGAAAACAATTTACTTTTTTTTGTGGCACTTCTAATGAACTTTTACAGGTATTTTTGCCTGAATTGTCTGTTAAGACTTCTATGAATATAGCATAGAAAGAAAAGGATAAAGTTAGGTTTAAATATCCTATTCAAAACATTGTCAGTATAAGAAATGTAACCTTAAGGCCAAAAATCAGCAATGAACTGAAATTTTCTGGTTGTGTAAATACATCCTTTTTTTTTTGGTAGTTTATTTATTTATTTATTTTATTTTTTTACATCATTGCTCATTTTTAAACAATATTTGCTCCCCCCCTCAGGTGTAGTCCCCATGGAATTTCCTTTTGGGCAGGAAGGTGATCGGTTTTGGTGCTAAGGGAACTCTGTTCCAACAAGGAAGGAAAGTGAGGCTGTGGGTAATACAGATTTGTTAACTAAGTTATAAATTCATTACAGGTCTCATAATTTGACATTTTCTATTACTGCTTGAAAAACTTTGCTGAGAACCAAACTTTAGGACCATTTTAGAGATGTCATTTGTCTATTTATTCAACAAATGGTGGTGTCTATTTAGGTCTCCAGGATCATCTTTGGCTGTTCTTTCAGAATTAATGGAATGCCAAGTCATTGGCAAGACTCAGTGCCAACTGTCATCACTGTAAGACTTCACATATGCTACAGAAGACTAGCCAGTTCATCACATCTATACTTGGAAGCTATTTCTTTTGGACTTTTCCTGATCCTTGATTCCTGCATTAATATTTCATTCTGTGAACTTCCATGATAACTTGTTCCTAAAACATGATGGTAGCTATAAGAACACAGTCCAGCTACAAGGAAAGTCCCTGATATGACTGTGCCAGCTTTGTGAAAATGTACAGCTCTTTGCTATAGCCTGGGTTAGTTGTTCCACGTGGTCATTCTTATGTATACATCAGCATCCATAGCAACACTTTTCTGCAAGTTGCTTACAAAAGTTTTGATAGCAGTGGATTGACATGCAATACAGGAGGTAATTACAATCATGAGTGCAAAAAGTTTCAAATATGTTGAAAATTGTTGAGGAAAAATGCGGTGTCCTCAGGGCAGATGGATGAATGCTATAAGGAAGTAATAGACATGAACTCTGTTAATGGGGCTGCCAGTGATCTGGTATTTGCCAGTAGGCATAGTAATTTTCCAAGCCCAAAGCATTAAAAAGTTGCAGGTGATATTTATGTAATGTCAGTGGGTCATATTTACTGACTCCTCTGAATGTACTGATTCCAAAAAGTTCAGAAGGAAACACCAGTTAAATGGAGTTCAGTGAATGCAGGAATGAAGCAACAATGTAGAGACACAGGGCTTCATTTCCAAGGTTCCAATGTCTGCTGGTGTTTTATTTTATCAAGTGTGTCCTGCTTACATTGTGCCGCATGACCTTCAGCAGGGACTCTATGGGCACTGTTTAGGAGTCTGTGTGATGGATAATTGTAATGAATTTAGAGTTCTCAAAGAACAAGTAGCTATGAAACTTCAAGGTATTGCAATAATCGCATGGTCTAATGTTAAATCAAAGATACAGCTGTTATTCCACATCTATTGTCAACGACTGTATGGGGGAAAAGACAGCTCCACTAACATATTTCTGGAGAGTGATAATATAGTGTATTTGGAGAAAACTCACTAATACAAATATTTTTTTCACTTGGGCTCAAATATTGTATTTCACATAATTACATTTTTTTGAGATCGATAATTAAATCCCATTGATTTCCTGTACTGATTAGCAATATAAAGTGAAAATGTGGGCCTCTCTAGTGGCACAAGGGGTTTAGGATAAGTACTATGAAGCAATCCTTAGCTACTGCAGCATGAGTTCTATCCCTGGCCAGGGAGATACTATCCTCATGGCACAGCAGACCTCTCCTGTCTCAACCTCTGCTCCCCTCAGCAGTGTATTTCAATCAGTCTGCCTGTTCTGCTCCCCGCTCTGTCACTGGTGAATCCTCTCACCCCCCATACTTCTGACCTGCACCCCAGTTCTTGTATGCATAAATAAATAAAACTTTAAAAAAAAGTTAAAATGAGTGGGTATTTTTTAGGCATAGTTGTATTACTGTGTACTTCTACCTCTTCATTCTTCCCTAAAGCCAAAATTCTTGAACATATATCACTCAAATTTTCAAAAAATGCAAATAAAGTGACCCTCAGAAAGAAGAAAATCACAGCATACAAAGTTTTCAGGGAAAAAATGCTTTGTTTTTCAGAATAATATAAATTGAGAAAAATGACCATACATGGGAAATATGAAAAAAAAAATATTTATGCAATGTTAACTACAACATTCTCACTATAATCAGAATAATACTGCTTTTTCATTGGCCTTTTTTATCCCTTTATTGAGGCAACGTAGTTTACAATACTATATATCATTTAGGAGAATAGGTTCACACCTTCTCAGAGTATATTTTACCATCTCATTTCCAACATGCAAGCACCCATAGTCCTACAACACAGACCCTTGTGCTCCTTCCTTCCTGAGTTTCCATCCCTATCTCCCATTGCTCTCTAGTACTGTCAAACCCACAGTCATATTTAGGGCTTATATTGGCTTAGTTTTTTCAGTTCATTTATATTTATGTTTTTTTTGTTTGTTTATTTCCTTCTATGCTGGTTTTTACAATATTTCACACATGAGTGAATTCATCCTACATTTATCTTTGTCTGTTTATTTCATTTAGTTTAATCCTCTCCAGTTCTATACATGCTATCACAAATGGCAAGAGTTCATCTTTTTATTTTTTAGCTGAGTAGTACTCCAATATATGCATGTATGTATATGTATGTGTGTGTTTTTGCGTGTGTGTACCACATCTTCGTAAGCCACTGCTCTGTCAATGGGCATTTAGGTTGTTTCCATAGTGTGGCTGATGAAAACAGTGCTGCAATGAATATAGGAGTGCGTACACACCTTAGAATTCATAATTTTGTATTCTTCCGATAGATACCTATGAATGGAACGGCTGGTATGGTAGACTGATATTTTGAGGAAACCCTATACTGTTTTTCTTAGGGGCTCAACCAGTCTACATTCTATCCATCGGTGTACAGTTTCCTTTTTTTCTACACCAAATACCATCATTTGTTATTTTTGTTTTTGTTTTTAATATGGTTCATTTTCACAGTGTGAGGTGATTTTCCCATTGTGGTTTTTGATTTGTGTTTCCCTGATAAAAAAAGTGTTGAACATTTTTTCATATATCTATTGGTTATCTGTATGTCTTTTTGGGAGAAGTGTCTATTTAGATTTTCTGCCCATATGTTTTGGCATGGGTTCTTTGTTTTCCTTTTCTTTTTAAGATTTATTTATTTATGCATACAAGAACTGGGGTATAGGCCAGAGGTGCCCGGGGTGAGAGAATTCACCAAAGATAGAGTGTGGAACAGAACAGGCAGACTGACTGAAATACAATGCTGAAGGGAGCTGCAGGCGAGACAGGAGAGGTCTGCTGCACCATGTGGGTAACTCCCTGGAGGGTTGGGGATGGGAATCATGCTGCAGAGGCTGCCGATAGCTTTGCAGTGCTGTGCTTAACCCCTTGTGACATCAGGGAGGCTGTTTTCTTTTTGCTGAATTGTATGGAGTTTTGTCATATGGTAGGTGTTATAATTTTTCATCCTGTTCAGTGTGGTTTCTTCATTTCAAGGAAGTTTCTTTCTGTGTACAGAGGCATTTTAGCCTAAATTAGTCACATTAGGTTTGTTGTTGTTGTTGCTTCTTTTGTTTTTGTTGTTGTTGGAGTTGAGATCTGAAAGACATCCCTGAAGTGAATGTGATGGAGTATTTTACCTATGTATTATGTAACTTCTTATGTTATATCCAAGTCTTTGATCCATTTTGAGTTTATTATTGTGTATGATGTGAAAAAAAAGTCTAGTTTCATTTTTCTGCATGTGACTATACACTTTTTTTTAAAGATTTATTTATTTATGCATACAAGAACTGGGGTGTAAACCAGAGGTGTGAGATGTGAGAGTATTCACCAGAGAGAGTGGGAAGCAGAACAAGCAGATCTACTGAAATACACTGCTAAGGGGAGCATTGGGCGAGATAGGAGAGGTCTTCTGTGCCATGTGTGTTATCTCCCTGGCCTGTGATTGAACTTCTGCTTCACTGGCTGCACATAACTTGATAGCTGAGACTTTAACCCCTGCATCACTAGGGAAGCCCTGAACAGGTCTTTCATCTCCTTTTTTTATTGCTAGGTATTAAATACATTTTTATTCCACTATAAGTGGGGTTGTTTTTTTTTTTTTTGATATCTTTCTCTTCTAGGCCTTTATTTGTATATAGGAACGCAACAACTTTTTGTAAGTTGATTGTGTATCCTGCTATTTTGCTGTACTAATATATTGCTTCCAAGAGTTTTTTTTTAGTGGAGTCTTTAGAGTTTTTCAATCATACTTTCAAGTCATCTGCAAATTATGAGAGTTACTTCTTTTTGAATTTGGATTCCCTTTATATATTTCTCTTCTCTAATTCTTCTAGCTAGATCTTCCAATACTATATTGAACAATAGTGATGAGAGTAGACACACTTTTCATGCATCAGATCATAGAGCAAAAGCTTTCAATTTCTCACCATTTGGTATGATGCTAGCTATGGATTTGGTATTTATTCTTTATTATGTTGAGTTATGTCCATTCTATCCCCCATTTTTCTAAGAGTTTTTATTATAAATGGATCCTGAATCTTTTCAAATGCCTTCTCTAACTCTATTGATACAGTCATTTGACTTTTGTCTTTCTGTTTTTTGATATGGTGAATTACATTGGTATGCATATATTGAATATTGCCTGCTTCCCTGGAATAAATCACACTTGGTCATAATGTATGATTATTTCAATGTGTTGTTGAATTTGGTTTACTAAAATTTTATTGAGGATTTTTGCATCTATGGTTAGCAGAGATTTTGATCTGTAGTTTCTTTTTTTTTTGTGATATCCTTGTCTTTTTTTGATAAAATGTGTTTGGAAGTGATCCTTCTCTCAATTTTTTTGGAAAGAATTTGAGAGAATTGGCATTAATTTATCTTTGAAAGTCTGGTGGAATTCACTTGTGAAGCTATTTGGTACTGAAGCTATTTGGAGAGGTATTTGGTTTCTTGGGAGAGTTTGCATATCATTTAAATTTCCTTACTTGTGATTGGTCTATTTGGGTTTTCTGTTTCTTCTTAATTCTGACTTAGAAAGTTATATGCTTCTAGGGATTTGTTGCATCTCTTCCAGATATTCTAATTTGTTGGCATAAAGACATTCATAGTTGTCTCTTATGATCCTTTGTATTTCTAAGGTAACTGTAGTAATATCTCTTTTGTTTATATTTATTAGCATTTTCTCCCTTTTTTTTCTTTAGTGAGTCTACCTAGAGGTTTTTCTATTTGGTTCATCTTTTCAGTAACCATCTTTTGATATCACTAATCTTTTGAACTCTCTCTTTGACTTTTATTTCATTTTTTTCTACTATATTTTTTTATTATTTCTTGCTTTCTATTGGATTTTGACTTCATTTGTTCTTTTTTAATTCCTTAAGCTATAGTGTTAGATTATTTATTTGACCTCCCTCTTGCTTCTTTGTGTGGGCTTATGTTGCTATATATTTCTTTCTTACTAGGGTTTTACCAGAATCCCAAGTTTCTGGTCAGTTATGTCTTAATTTCATTTGTTTCTAGGTAATTTTTAATTTCTTCTTTGATTTCTTCCTCACTAACCCAATAGTCAATCAGTAGTGTGCTATGAGATTTTTTCTGTTTTTTTTTTTCCCCCTCTGGTTTTCTTTTTGTGATTGATTTCTAGTTTACAAATATTATGATTTGATTTGATTTCAATATTCATGAATTTATTCACAATTTTTTTGTTTTCCAACATATGGTCTATCTTAGAAAATGTTCCGGGAGCACTGAGATGAGTGTGTACTCAGTTTTGGTGGGGTGTAATGCCCTACAAATATCAAGAAACCCCATCTGATCTAATTCCTACTTTAAGGCTACTCTTTCTTTTTTTTTTTTTAAGATTTATTTATTTATTTATACAAGCACTGGGTACAGTCAGAAGTGCGGGAGGGTGAGAGAATTCACCAGAGGCAGAGCGGGGAGCAGAGCAGGCAGAAGGACCGAAGAAGGGTCGAAGTACACTGCTGAGGGGAGCAGCGGGCGGCAGGGGAGGTCTGCGCGCCACGTGGGACCCTCCTCTGGTGGCCCGGGAGCAGCCGGGGATCAACTGGCACTGCAGAGGCCGCGGGCAGCTTCGCAACCCAGCGCTCAACGGCTGCGCCGCCGGGGAGGACCCAAGGCTACTCTTTCTTTATTAAGTTTCTATATGGTTAATCTGCCTGTTGATGT